AGGTAAGCTAGCTAACTCACCACCCCCCGTTCAGGTTTGTTATCCAATAGCTAACGCTAAGGTTTTCTTAAACAATTATGTTTATTCTGGTTGTTTATGGCTAAATGTTTTCTTTTTGCTGATGCTGTTCCACTCCTTCTGCTGCATGTAATTTATTATGTGTTTAGTCGTTGTAAAGCACTTGTACACAAACACACATATGACTAAAAATGTAATAAATCACACACAAAACAAACACACACACTCACACACAAACATGCGGCCTTGGCGGAGGTTTGCGCTCTCAGAGTGCTTCAAGGTCTTATTAGCACAACTGACCTGTTGAATACAAGGAGACTTGTACTTACGGTTTAAAGACTTGACGGCGCAGTGCTGCTTCTGTCCGTCTGGTTCGAGCAGTGTTCCGTGGAAAACACAACCAAAGTGTCCTGCGGGTTACAACACGATGCTCGGTGTTAGAACCTGTCAGCATCAAGAGTTCAAAGGCTCCTGTTCAAACCTGTGAAAGACTTCAATAAAACGTTTCTGCAGCCCACACAGGGAGCATTGTCTTCATTCCACACTCATGTATGAGACACATCACTTCCTGTCTCCCTTATGAGTTCATGTAAAGCTGGATGTTAATATAAGCAGTCGTTTCACAATTATTTACAAGAACCCTGGATGCCTGGACAGCACTGACCGTTACCGACACATGACTGCAGGGGTTTGAGTTAGTTTGTGGTTCTGGTCAGTAAATCTGATCATATCTCCTGCCTCTGACCTCAGTAAACACACTTTACAGTTTACAGTGCATTCAGTATAAATCTGAGTTGGAGCATTGGGCTCAAGGTGTTCTGATTGGTCCATGGAAAATCAACTCCTTTATGTTTCACCTCATAAACCAACTCTCAGGTTTCAATCCCCCGTAATCTGCCCGGGTCTGAGTAACCCAGTCCAAAGTTTAATCCATCGGCACCCCACGCAAGTTATCAAACTGTGTCAGGACTTTTTGAGTTACGGTGCATTTTATTGACATGTGTCTCCTGTTAAAGTCATGGGGGGTAATTCCAGACTGGTGGGGAGCATGCAGGACTGAAATAAGCGCACTGCTCTCCTTTCACGTCTCTGCAGATGGCTGAAGGTGTTGGATTACGGCAACGTAAACTGGGAATATTAGCTGTGAACAAATCATCTCATGCCACTTTGGAAAACCTGAGCACCCAATAACTCCAGGCTTCAGAGGGGGAAAAAAAAGAAAACCCAAAAGCTCAGGACAGAGGCAAACAGTCGGTGCTGACTTTTAGGGATGTTTCCTTAAAACATTTAAAAACTAAAACTGTTACAGTTATTTTACACACGGCACAGTTTACACCTGATTTCTTTCTTCATTAAAGAAATCTGAACTTCCTGGCCTTCAAGGACGACACTGATTCAAACCTAATGCCTTTTATCCTGCTGAGAACACCATCCCATCAATGAAGCACGGCGGTGGTAGCATCGTGCTATGGGGAAACATACAGCTGTGAACCCATATGGACATTATCTGGTTAAAAATACAGCAACAACGTAAACAAACGTAGATGCATAAGTGTAGGCGTTTACTTTTAGCTAATAAGGCATTTAGTCACACAAGAGATTTTTTGTTATATTTGCCTAAAAATGCAGTTTAAAAACTGAGACTTTAGTCTTTAGCCTGAGAGAGCTGTAACAGTAGACATGTGAAAATGATTGTGCTGACGTTGGTGCAGTTTGTTACACTTTATAACTTGTGAAATGTTGGAAAAAGGAAAACAAATTATTTCAATGAGGCGTGGCACATGCTGAGTTACAAATATTTGGAGGTGCACCGCGACACCGTGCACAGCCAACGCACCGGGACGGTGCTGTTAGCGCACCCTTACACCGTCTTTAACGAATCAACTATAAACCTCGATTTACAGGCAGCCTAAAGACAAACTGCTTCTTCACAGAACTGTTACAGGAAAGTGCCTTTTTGGAGATAACAATATTCATAAATGACCATTTAAACCTAAATGTCTCTTTAGGCTAAAGCGAAACATGACATAACTTACTAAGCGTGCAAGACAATCACAAATTCTATTTTTATTTTACAGAAAAGAGCCGTCAGAATTATCACCAGAAAACATTACTGTCACGCATCGAATATATTATTTTCTAAATTGAAATTATTAAAATTTTATGAGTCTGTGTCAGAGTCTGGTCCGCATTGCCGGCAGTAAGTCGGGCTCGTTTCCAGTGAGAGT